ATTTAAACCGGGGTACAGCACAAATATAAATCCTGAACAAAACAGTAGGAATTAGAGTTATTTTTAAGTGGGTAAGATAATTGAAACTTTTAAATGTCGTAAATAGTAACCTTAAACAAACGACCATATTGGCAACGAGAATATATTAGATCAGTTTGAAAGTTGGAGACTACTAAGTCGAACCAAGGAAATTCTCGCGCTTGAGCATTTCTTAGGGAGCGCATTAGCGGACTATTTGAGCTTTTCAGTCAACAAAATCCGAGAAGAGGTTGAATTATTTTCAAGGCCAACCCTGACAAGTTAATTAAGTTCCTGTAAAATTTCTAATGATCATATAAATTATAACTGAAAACAATTCTCGAAAAAACATTCAGGGAGGTTATGACAGAATACGAGGGGCGCTTTGGCTTCATGTGCGGGAACTCCGGATCAGGCATTCAGGGCCCGCACGCGACTTGAGGCAAGATACTCTTTTCTTACAATCCCTCTCTCCACGACCTGCTGTATAAATTGGTACCGGCGCGTTGCTGAGGCAATCTGAAATAATGTTGAGAAGTAACCTGCGATGGACTATTATCCCATCTAGGAATACAGTGAAATACATATTTTATTATCACTCTCCAATAGTAAAACTCCTAGTGATGGAAATATTTATGCTAAGGAAACGGCCTGATGAGTCACTAGGCTCGCACACTGGAGAGCTACACCGATAACTCCTCCTGACCCCATTTATAAAGCGCTCATATTTTTTTCCAGTGAGGGATGCCCTGGGCRGATACGAATGAAGAATTGAAACATTTTAATTAGGTTTAAAATGTCAAATTCCTTAACCTGTTGTGAAGGTAAAAGCCAATTTTGAGAAGTGGACAGCACGAGCTTGAAGCGAGGTCATCGCAGTATCTTGAATCAGTTTACATAATCTGATATTGTCTTGTTGAATTCTTAGGCAACTGTAAATATTTTGATTTTGAGAATGGCATGAAGACGCTATCCAAATGGAAAAAAACTGGTCACGCTTTCGATAACCAACCAACCTTCAGAGACAATGTTAACGAACGCGACCCGAACATCAAAACTAACGTGCAAGGTGATTGGTGGATAGGAACATTTGAAAACAGGTCCAGTCCCACCGCCGAAGCTGGCTACATGGAGGGTGATTACCCTATTGGTACACTGACGTCACCAGAATTCCGTATCAAAGGCTCAAACATGGACTTTTTGCTTGGCGGTGGATGTGACGGGGAAAATATTCGAGCTGAACTACTTGTGAATGGCAAAGTACAACGTGTGGCTTACGCTGACTATTGCCGTGAACGTATGCGAAGAAGATTGTGGAATGTCGCAGAGTTTAGAAACCAAATTGGTCAAATTCGTTTAGTTGATGGATCTAGGAAGGGACATATTAATTTTGACGACTTGAGGGGAGATTTCACTTGTCTTGGTAAATGTGTTC